GTCGTGTTTGATGTCAGCCGGATGTACGGCATGGATTTGGTTGTCATCATTCACATTTTCTTCTGAGAGGACTTGATGGTAAGAATCGGTGCTAGCAGGGTATTACATGGTGGTGCTGATGTAAACCACCAGGATTGGAGCAAGGAACTGATAGAAAAATAAAGATGATGATGAGGAGAACTACTGTATGATAATGCTCTATGGTGCGCCACTTGTTTATTCATTTTTATTTTACTGACTCAAAGTCAGGTTTTGCAAGAAAAAATTTCCCTCGAAATACACAATGCTCAATTGTTCATAAATGTGTTTCAACCAAGCTGATATTGTCGGTAATCAGTGGTTTTCGCCACAGAACAGCACTGCGCGTTTTTTTAGTTTCGTTGGTGCTCGCTTACCGTTAGACACATCACTTTAAAATGTGTCCAATTTCTGACCGTGAAAGGGTCGTCGTCTCTAAAATCGTAGACTATCGATAGTCTAGGAGAGAGATTTTTATAGAGTACTCGACTGAGAAAGAGAACGAGTAATCAAAAAGTGCCTGCTTACAGGAAACGGTCACTGGAGAGAGTGGTCGTTATGAAATTAAAGAAAGAGATCTAGACAGAAAGCCTAGCTTCTCTGAATAAAATCAGAACTTAAGAAAAAATCATTCAATTGGCATCATTCTCTTTACTCCGCTCAAATTAGCATGCATAAGAGATTTTGCATGAAGAAAACTTCAATACTAGACTTAGTTTTGAAACAATCACCACGGAAGAAGTAGGCACAAAGTCACAGGTAAGAGTGCTCAGTCTTCTCATGAAAGTGAAAAACACAAAAAGTTTCACGATGTAGTTCTGGTTTTCACTTAGCGTGATATTTCACTGTCCTCTTTGACTGAACTTATGTGGGTTACTCCGTTCACAAATTAGTGAGAATAAAAGATCTAGAATGCAAAAGACGTACCTTAAACAGTTTAAACATTTTCAGTGGTCTGTTTGTAACGTGGCACTGGATCCACTGATGGCTTCGTTAATTGCGTATAACCTTCATTTTAAGAGGGTGACACCAATTGCTTTGAAAAGTGTTTTCCCTAGTGGCCCTCTAAAAACAAAATTGATAATAATAAATTACAACAATAATGATAAAAACCCTATTTACATATAACAATTATACTAAAAGTTCTTAAAAATTCTAGAGAAAATAAAAAATTAAGGGATGTTAAAAACGGAAGTAAATAGTGAATACATTGGTGAAAGAGGGAATCCAATCTACAATGATATTTAAAAAGCACGGATTTTTAAAAATCAGAATAACTTTTTAATTTTAAAATTGTCCACCGTATAGTTTGAGGGGGCGTTATTAGTCAGTGTTGTCTTCATAAAGCTAAAGGAAGTGGTTGGTTCTAAGTTAAGAGCATTTAGTTCTTTAATAGCGGAATAAAGGAATGTTCTCCTCATTGCTTCAGTTCTGGGTTTTGGGTAAGCTGTATAATGTTTTTGTTCTGGTAGAGTACTTGTGTTCAAACCGGAGTGAGTCCAACGTTGCAATTAAGTATTCCGGTGCTTTTCCATCAATAACTTTCTTTAAAAGGCCGAGTTTATTGAGCTTGAATAGTTTATCAACCGGTAGCCACTTAAGCTTTTGAAAATTATCATAAGATCGTGTATCCCGAGGACTATCCAAGCGGAGCGTTTTTGAAATTTGAACAGTTCGTCTAAGTTGGTTAGGCTACAGTTGCTCCAAACAGTACAGCTAAAAGTAAAGAGCGGTTTGATACTTTCATTGGAGAGAAGCAATCGATATTTGGTTGGTATATATTTCCGAGCTCTTGCAAAAATTGCAACTCTTTGAAGTAGTTTTCGGCGCAGTGTGTCAATGTGTTCGTTTCAGGTGAGATTACTATCAATGCTCCTAAGACACGTTC